TTGCATGAAGCTCCAACAGTGTTTACAATTCTTGAAGTCATCTCAAATAAATGTTTTACTTGCCAATGATTTTTTGCAACTGCCACCAAACATAATTGGAGTTGATGTGCAAAACAATGAATGTAGAATGCTTGAGGATTATCTTTTAGAATAAGTGCTTTCAAACCATTGAACTCCCCTCGCATATTTGATGCTCTATCATAACCTTGTCCCCTTATTCTGTGCAAACTTAAAGAATGTTTTGCAAGAAGTGCTTCAACTGCTGCCTTGAGTGTTATTGCATTTGTTGAAGTAACATGAGTAACACCTATGAATCTCTCAATTACTTGGCCCAACTTATCTACGTATCTCACCGCAATAGCTAGTTGTTCTTTTGTAGACACATCACGAGATTCATCTACTAGAATGGTTAAGTTAATCAATTTTAACTTTGCATTTACATTTTCAAATATAACATTTCTAACTTCTTCATTATGATTTGCAAGAATCTGAAATAATTCTACATAATTCCCTTGATTATTGGAGCTAGAAGATTCATCATGCCCACGAAATGATAGGCCTTGGCGAATAAGAAATCATACACAATCAACAGCTGCAGTTAGCATAGTGCGATATTCTTTTTTTTGCTTCTCTTCTTTGCTCAACCATAAAGCAGGAATACTATGCTCTTGAAGCTTCATTAAAGCCTCACATTTATGTCTTGCCTTGTTGTGTGCACTGTTGTCATCTCCAACATGACTTAAAAGCTTCTCTTTTCTCTTCCAATTCTTAAATCTCTCACCAGCAAATGTATCTCCACCGCCTTTGTTAGTATTAACTTGCTGTTGAGGTTTAAATAAATAGCAATAAAGGCAAAATACTGCATCTTTCTGAATACTATATTCCATCCAATCAGGAAAGTCTTCAAACCATTTTGAATTAAATCTACGTGCAATGTTCCCTATTGTTGTTTGAGGGAATTGATGATTTTTGGGTTGATGCGGACCCTTCAATAAATAAGCTCTTCGAACTCTATCAAGATCATTTACATCATAACTCCAGATGGATGGTCGAAGACCAGGATCAGCAGGTAGATTGTCAATATAAATCTCGACATGTTCTTTTCTCTTCAAGAATCTTTCCATTTCTCAAAAGGCTAACAATGAGCAATCTAAATTAGCTAACATTGTTACTCTAATAAAAAAAGATAATACAAAATTAATATAGAATTTGAAAAATTTATTCACATTATAATTGAGACACAAACTCAAATCTTTCTCAATTTTATTTGTTTAGTACCTAATTTTTCTATAGTTAAAGCTCAGAAATTGTTACAGAAATTTCAATCTACTTAAGATCTCTCTATGTCTAAAACTACATAAATTTCAGAAATTCTCTATGGTTAAAGCTACAGAAATTTCAGAAATTGTTAACGAAACTTAAATCATAGTGTTTGGCTGTTTGCTTGTTTGCTACAGAAATTATTAAAAGTTACAGAAATTTCGATCTACTCACTGCTCAGACCAAGCACCTAGAAAAAGAACATTTAAGAAATGTCTTCAAACAATCAAACCTCAAGCAAACAAAGATTAGAGAAGCTAATATTCCAAAACAAGCACAAATTGTTGTCAGAGAAGCCTTAAACTGTTGAATAAGCAAGTCTAAACAAACCAAGGAAAAAAACGTGTTAAACTTTGAGCAGAAATTAACGTGTTAAGCGCTTTTCTTTGAAGGTGTTAATGATGGTAATGGTATTTATAAGCAAATCTCACAAAAAATCACAAAAAAAAACTTCTTCTCTAGAGTTTGACTGAAATTTCAAAACTTACCTTCAACGATTTGCGAACTGGGAACTGCCGAACTGGGAAGAGAGGCCAGCGGGCGGGCCAGCGACTGCGATGGCTCCGTGAGGACCTTGCGAACAGGGAACAGACGGAAAACAGGGCTTCGGCCGTCCAGCGTCCGGCGAACTCTTCAAGAAGGAAAGGTGGGCTGCGGTGCTTCGTGAGGTCCTTGCGAACAGCCGAACAGTGATTGAGCAGAAATTAACGAGCAGAAATTAAACTTACCTTCAGCGATTTGAGAACTGGGAACTGCCGAACTGGGAAGAGAGGCCAGCGGGCGGGCCAGCGGCTGCGATGGCTCCGTGAGGACCTTGCGAACAGGGAACAGACGGAAAACAGGGCTTCGGCCGTCCAGCGTCCGGCGAACTCTTCAAGAAGGCAAGGCGGGCTGCGGTGCTTCGTGAGGTCCTTGCGAACAGCCGAACAGTGAATAGGCGGAAAGAAAAAAATTTGGGCAAACATGTCCCGCTGTTTTAATTTAGGGCAAACAAATTTTTGTGAGGGGGGGCAAAATACCGAAATACCCCCTCCACTATAGTATATATATATTTTTTTAGGGTGGGCATTTGCCCACCCTTAGCATAACTGGGGTCCGCCCATGACTCTCCCATGAATCCTAGACGCTGCTAGGAAGCTCTCCAAAATAAAACTATAGCAAACACAAATTATCTCATGCCCTAAACCTAGACAAAACTTTCTCTTAAATAGCTCTAGCACAAAAAAAAAAAAAGCCCTAGCCTTTTATGTAGGAAAGCTTTTCTTTTGCTTGGCAAAAAATATAGGGTCCCCTATATTTTTTTTGCCTGCATCACCAACATATACATAATTTAGGAAATCTTTCTAAACAATTAAAATATTCTTAAATACAATAAACATAATTAGAAAATCTTCCTAAACGGCTCCCCTTGACTTCACCTCCTTTCATAATACATGATGGCTCTCATGGGCCCCACAAGGCTAGCCGAACCCTCCCCTGGGCTCCCTTCCTAATTAGGAGGGTCTTGTGGAGATTGGACAAGGAAGATTACTTTGAATTTTGAATGAGAATTTGATTTTGGAGAAAGAGTGAGAAGGGGGGGAGGGGCGCAGATTTGTTGGGTTGGTTTTGAGGGTTTGGTAATGTTAAGGCTTGGATAGCCTTTGAGAGTCTTCAAAAGAGAGTACATCCATTGTGGAGGCGTACATCTTGAGAATGAAAAATCCGATATACGTACCATTTAGAATTGAGGGATTTACATGCTTACGACTAAAATCTTATGCATTCATATATTTAACACTTAGATATTTATGTTTACTTATATATAACATTCTAGCTTCTGAATGACATGAAAATATATGCATGAACTTCCGATATTGCTAATATTAGTGCTATTTTTTATATCATTTGAAGATTAGGGTATTATATTAATACATATGTTAAATGTGAAATAATAAGAATTTAATGGTATTTGTGTAATTCTCCCTTAAGAATTTCATGGAATCCTTGAAATTGATTGTCATCATAGTGTAGATAAACATCTAGTTGTGTTATCAATGGCAGCTCCTAGGATCTCTGATAACAGGTGTTGTAGAGTTGCAATGGAAGATACGAGTCAAGCCTCAAAGAGGTTGAGGAACCGAGGAGGGAGGAAGGAAAAATATGAAACTTCGTATATAAAATAAGAGGAGATGGAAACCGTGCAATGCATCATATCATTCAATAATCATAATCTAATTATTTCACCTAACTTGGAAGCTTTATTTATGATTGGTCCTACAATATAATAATAAATAATCGAACATAGCCTAAGGTATGATCAAATTGCCTATGATAGTTAAAATAAAGGCAAGTAAAGTGTAAATATGAGTTAAAAGAAAATACAGTGATACTTAAATGCTATGACATTATGACATGACACTAACATTTTTTTTCCCGCATCATATAGCATATAATTTTGTTTTTGTCCATGCATACCAAATTGATTTTAGTTGACTAGAATTAATTTTAAGGAAGCCACTCTCTAGAAGAGGTAAATTGATTTATATTCTATTTATTTAAAATTCAAACAAGAAAGCCCCTCAACATCAACTTTTTTTTCGACAAATAAATAAAACCAACATATTGATATTTCAACTTCTACTAAGCTGAACTTTTGTTTTCCCGTTTTTATGAAAAACGAGTATTTAATTATCAGTTATTGATATCAGCGGTGATCAGCTTACTGGCATGTTTAAATTTGCGTCCTGAAACGCCAGTGATCAATTTACTCTTTATGAAGTAGCTTATTTTATCAAATGAAAAATGACAGACCTCGGGGCTTATTTTAATTGTCTTTGGATTATCAACTAACTGGTATGCATGGAATCCTTTATCATTTAACCGTGCTGAAAATCTTCAGTAAACTGTAGCTCAACTCCATCGCTGCACAGAATCATTTTTTTAAATATCCTATTTCTGTTTCAAAATAAATTCAGGTGCAGGAGGTGATGCAAGTGGTAGGTCTAAGCAGAGCAGAAGTGAAAAAAAGAGCAGAAAGGCCATGCTGAAGCTCGGAATGAAGCCAATCACTGGTGTTAGCCGTGTTACAGTAAAGAAAAGCAAGAACGTGAGCTCACTCTACCCAATTTTTCATTGCTCTTATCATCATTTGAAGTTAGGGGTGTCAATTTCGGGTCACGGGTCGGGTCTACCCGAAACTGACACGGCACTATTCGTGTCAACACGAACCCGACCCATTTTTTTTGTAAATGGGTCGATTTTCTAAACCCGAACCTGACCCGCTTCGGGTCCGGGTCAACCCAACACAACCCGAATGACTCGGTGCCAACAAAAAATTGCTAGTTTTCGGGTCCAAAACGGGTCAATCTCCGCTTTTCGGGTAAAAACTGGTCAATCTCGAATTGCCGGGTAAAAAACGGGTCAATCTCGGGTTAATTTTGGGTCAAAGGGTCAATCCGAACCCGACCCGATTTTTGAAAAGGGTCGAATTGTTGAACCTGAACCCGACCCATTTCGGTTTTGGGTTGACCCTAACCCAAAATGATTCATTTGCTTCTTTGCTTACAAATATATTCCTTTTCCTTTCAGATACTCTTCGTGATTTCAAAGCCAGATGTATTTAAGAGCCCAAATTCAGATACATATGTCATATTCGGGGAAGCGAAGATCGAAGACCTGAGCTCTCAATTGCAAACCCAGGCTGCTGAGCAATTCAAGGCCCCTGATCTGAGCCATGTGATAAGCAAGCCGGAGACATCTACCATTGCTCAAGACGACGAAGAAGTCGATGAGACTGGTGTGGAGCCAAAGGACATTGAGCTTGTGATGACTCAGGCTAGTGTTTCAAGGGCAAAAGCTGTGAAGGCTCTTAAAGCCGCCGATGGTGATATTGTTACTGCAATCATGGAGTTGACCAACTAAATCCAGATTGAACATCTGGATTTGGTTTTTCTTTTATTGTTGATGCACTTTTTGTCATGGATTTCAGATTTCTTCCTTGATTACTTCTACATTCCCTGTTCTTCATCTTTCAGCCGTAAACTTACTTTAATATTATGGTACTCATCTTTGTAAACTGCTTTTCGTTGATTGTTTCTTGGAGAGATTTTATCAAGGCTGCATTTGTCATGTTTTCTTGTTGCAGAATGAAAAATGTCTTTCAGATGTTCAGACCTGGAAGAATATTTGACGTTTTTGCCTTCATAAAATGTAGGAATTTCAAAATGCATGAAAACTGAAGAATTAGTGTATTTGATATAGCGCAGCTGTTTCTTTGCTTTCTCCTGTGTTATTTTTCTTTTTTGCGTAGTTTGTAAAAATATTTGCCGTATAAGCCTACAAATGAAGGCTTCATTTGAGATAGTTTTTTGCTTTACTTTTTTTTGAAAAATTTGTTTTAAAATCTGCTCTAAAAATAGCAAGAAAATTATCCCAAACAGTTAAATTTTTATTCAGCTTTTTTGTTCCAAGTAATTTGTGACTCCACTCATTATTTGCAGTGTTATGCGTGTATATGAAGCTAAATTTGGAGTTCAATAATATTTGAATGTTTTTTTTTCTTAGGAAAGTGTATAGGTTATTCAATTTTTGAAGTAGTTTGCATTAATGTACTGAAGTACTTCACTTGAATTTTTTGTTTAATTTTATAGGATGTGATATTTATAAACTTCAAAAAAAAAAAAAAAAAAAAAAAATCTGTTCAACTTTGGATTTTAAAATTTGATATAAATTTTAGAGCGTAAAATGCTCTAGTATTTTGGTAAAAAATTAAAATTATTTGAATTTCAAAATGTTAGCAAATTTATTATTGAAAAAAATGTGGTGATGAACAAAAATAATAATCAAATCAGATTGGTTAGAGTCTAAGTAGGTTTAAATTATATACAAAAGCCTAATTAGAAATTTCTCGAGGGGTGATGGGGGCGTTTGAGTAACCTAAAGAATTATAAAAATAATTTAGAGCTTTATTAATCCCTAAACAATGCTTAGATTTTTTTTTAATATAAAAATTATAAAAACCCATTTAATATACGTAAATATACGTCTGAATAAAGTAATATAATGATAAAGTAGAGTATTGATTTCACGAAGAAGAATATTTACTTGCAAATACTAGTACTATTTACTTCAATTACAACAATTATCATACTCAATAAAAATAAGTTTTGTTGGATATTCAATCACTTAATTTAAAATAAAAAAATAATTAAATGGAACACTATTGGGATTAATTGTTTTGGATTGATGGAATATAAATATAATATGTTTTATGATGATTCTCTTTTATATTGATGACATTCAGAGTATATGCATCACAAACTGCTCAGTCAAGAGTGAAGAGATAAATGATACATTAAACTTTTTTAATCTTAATATCAGTTTAAACTCCCATAGTCTGTCACCATTTAAAAATTTTAAAAGAGTAAGTAAAGCGTGTACTATTAAAACCTCCTCATGACAATTCATCTCTATAAATTTGATACATAATAACTATCATGCCTATGCTTGCATCATACAAATCCAACATACCTGGTTGTGCCTGCTTTTTTATTCATAGGCTTTTTTTTTTATATATTTTTTTAATTCATAGGCTTCATATTAAACATGATATTAACTATACATATGACTATTATGTATATTAAATGAAGACATGGTATATTAAAAATATCATGAAATTATTGATGAAGAAAACTTATTAGTACTCCATATTTCATTTACACAATCAATCCAAAACTAAAGAATTTAACCAGGCATGAAGAACAAGTGAAGCATATTTATTTTCATTAATTGCACAATAGAAAAAAGTACCGAAGAAAAGATATCACAAGATGTGTTCAATGTGAACCCCTCTACTCTCTTGGAACTTACAAAATTGTTTCCAGAATATAAGTCAAATACTCTAATGTAATGTAACTAGTACTTCTCCAAATTCCATTATTTGTCATACGTACAAAAAAATTAAAGAAGCACTATAAAAATTGAAGTTAAACAAGTGAATGAACTCCTCTACTAACATTACAAATAGACTATTTATAGAAAAACTTAGAAAATGAATTCTGGTGCTACGGCGTTCGAGACACTTGCGCCACGTCGCCCATAAAATGAACTAACGCGGCAGTGCTGAAGGGTTTCCTCCACTATGTTGCTTGCTGATACAGACCCACTGTTTAATGAATCGATGCATTGCTTAGCTGGCAGATTGTGATCTGAAAAGTTACAACTGTAGCGTCGTGGCGTTGCTAACGGTTGAGCACCACAATGTCCACGTGGCACTTCCTTGACTTAGTGGCGCTGTAGCGCTGTGCAGACACAGACTGGGCTTGGGTGTAGGAAAACAAAAGAGTGAAAGTTTTGTTTCGTTGTCATTTTAACAATGTGAATGTGAGCGAGATCGAGGCGAATCTGCGCACACGAGGATAGGTCAATGACAATGGCGCCATTTATAGGGGATGGGGCGACTGTAGCATGCAGCTGATACAAACAAGATTTACGCAGGATTTGAGCAAGTATTTTTTATCATATATTTTTTATTTTTGCTCTCATGAGGAGGTAGCATGATTATAGTATTAACAATTAGCCATCATTGTTTACATGCAAATACTACATTTATCATATATCAGTCATATCATTTTATCTATATAATTCAATATCATGTGTGAAAAGCAATAATTTATGAAATACATAAAAATCTGTACAATATGCATTAATTTCATAAAATCACAACTATCAATTTACCCAATGAAATTCAATAATATTATTATCAAAATATTCATGATGACGATATCTACCATATATAAAAAGTTATATGTAAAAGTTTAATAAATCAGAAAAAAATTCATTTGTATCGATTCAGGGGAAATTAAATTCATTAAACATAAAATCATTGAAAAACCAAGGTAGGTTTCAAGTTATTTGGCACGGTCAGAAGAAATCTCGTAACATAACTGATGGATGAAAATGCCCCGGGCAACGTTCTCCCTCCTATCACTCCCTTTCCTCTCCTTTCTTCCCCAACAAGGCATGCAAGAATGGGGAAATGGCTGGGATGATAGCTTATGTTAAATGGATTAAGATATTTTATTATTATAAAAATCAATATTTTTGATATAGTATTAGCGTCGTTTCTCCTAGGGAATATGAAAATAGTGCCACGACGCTAAACTACTTAGCGTCGTTGCTCCTAGTTAATCTTTCGGATTCTCCCAAAGTATCCTCACCCAAGACCCAACGTCATGGTTGAGCTGCCCAGCGCCGTAGTGCTCACACAAAATATTTTTTTCTTCAAAAAAACCCAAGAGCTCAACTCCGAGATGCCGCCAACCTAGCACCACAATGATCACAAAGAAATTTTTTAAATATGAAATTTGGGCTATTATTCTTGGACTATATGGTAGTACATGACAAGGCTGACAAAGCTAAGAAGCATATGAATGATGTGTGTGCAATGCTTTCATTTTATTATCTCCCGTAAGATGAAGCCTAATTTATATGAAGACTCACTAGGCTATGTCAAGATGTGCATCAACTAATATTTGATACTAATGGACTTACATTTATGCTCCATAATGATGATCCAAATGCCTAGCTCCCATATACACCGAAATATTTGATCTTGCATATTTAATGTAGAAATATTATAGGATCTAACATCATAACAAAATAATCCTAGCACATTACATCACATCACAAGTATGTATATATAAACTAGCAAAGCATAAAATGAAGGAGCTAAAATAGGTGGAAAAAGACAGCCCTGATCATAAATTACCAGTCTAGATGGTCTGTAGCGACATAACAACACAAGACATCTTTTAAAGCCCACAAGGATGTCATGTCTCTACTCCTTTTGTTCCTAAGATGTATAAGTTTGTTGATGAAGGTCCTTTTGAGTTATTGGAAAATCACATTCATATAATGAAAAAGTCTCAAAATGAGATCCTTTAGCTTTTGTGTGAGATAAATAGATAAATTCACTGCAAAAAAAGGCACAAATGAAGATGACACAAAAATTTCTCTAAAATTGTATTCCGGAGTAAAATGCAACAGCCAAATAGCCAAACAAACCAAAATCCAACAAATATGTGCTAACAGAAGCAAGTCGGAATGGTTAAAGAATTCGAAGATTAGGAGGCTTCATCCCAGAAAGTAAAAAATGGCGAACACATTAACAAGTGTGTATATAAGGCCTAGTAATAACCAAATCTAATTATACAAAATTTTTGTTCTACCAGAAATAACAAAAAATGGAGGGGAAGATCGATGAAATGCCTTAATGGAATTTTGAAAAATTTGCGCAAAAGAATGAGGACAAAAGAAAAATATATATTGCCCAAAAAGAAATGGAGATGAAGATGGATAAAATACCTTAAAGATAATTTAAAAATATCAAGTTTCCATCTTGGGAGGAAAATTTTGGTGAAAAACAAAAATGAGAAGACTAAAGAAAACTATCTTATTTTTAAAACAATCAGAGGAGTTTCTCAAAACAAGAACAAAAAGATGAATAAAAGTCAACTTAAACATCTTATATGAAATTCCCGATCGTTATATACCAAAATTCAACCTTTGTTTTATTTTCTCTATTGGCAACATTAGTGTGATAATTTAGACTTTATAAAAGATCCAAAATCAGACGCAACATCCAACAGTGGAACACTGAATAAAAGTTGCATATTTAAAATTTCAACCACTCTCATTCCAAAAGAATTCTGATGCCAAAATAAGTTCAAAGAAACTGGAAAAGGAAATTAATAAAGAAAAAGCAATGTTCTACTAATTGAAAAACCGCCCAGGATAACTCATCTGGTGTGTTTCTTGACCAGTAGAAATAAAACTAAGCTCTTATGACTCTTGTTGGCTAGAACTAGATGTAGAATTTGAAGAGCGAAAAGGCCACAAGAATGAGAAAGGATTCCTCCTTCCTTGATTTGTCCCTCTACCCTCCCTAGCACCAGAATCATTGCTATTATCACTTTGTCTTCCATATAATGGTAGTTCTTGGCGGCAGACAGGGCAAGAATTGTGCTGTGTTAGCCAAGGAATGATGCAATCTGAGTGGTATAAGTGTTTACATGGCATTTCTCGTGCCTCAGATCCCAACTCAAACCTTTCTTTACATACAGCACAGTGAGAATCACCTCGAAGGTGCCTCCGACTGATCTTGACTGAAGGCATGGCATGAATTGATGATCTTGAAGCAGGTGGAGGACCTAGGTGAGCATTTTGTGTCAATTGTTCAATCAAATCCTGCAGCCCTGGCCCCATGAAGTAGTCTGTAATGGTGGCCCTTCCTATCTCTATGCCAGAGCCACCATTGAGGAGAGCCTCAAGCCCTCCATCCTCTGAAACTTGGCCACGAAATAGCAGCCATGGAGATCCTATTCCACCACTCAATACCATATCAGGCCCATTATGCAAGTTGATACCTTCACCCATCCTTGCCATCCTTTGCCTCATCATGGTGGAAATGGCATCAAAAAGTTGAAAGCGAGGATCAAGATAGTTACTAGGATCCATTTCCGAAAAATTGTTCATGTTGTCACCCATGTCATTGAGTTCTTGCACAAAGCCTCCATTACAATTGCGGCAAAGCTTGTCCCTTCCATGAGGTCGAACTGCTAGCATACATCTGTAGCACCAGTGCGTGTTCGAACCACTTGACATGGTTTACCAATGAATAGCTCTTCACAATCAACAACACAAAGCACCACCTACACCTTGTAATGTATTTGAAGTCCAAATAAGTATTTCTTCCAAATTAAAACTCTGTAGTGAAAGAAGCAGAAACAAAGCTCAGTGAAAGCATTAAAAAAAACCAAGAAATTTCAGAAGTTGTTGAACAAGTTAATGATGGATGAAGCTCTCAGAGAATGACTCACCTCATCAACTTATCAAGAAATTGTTTGCCACTATACCAATTTTAAACTTAGGGGTCATTGTGTTGCTTGAAAGTATTAAACATGTTTTGAAAAAAGGTGAAATGTAGATCCAACATTTAATTTACTATTTTTACAAGTAAAAATTCATTTTAAACTCTACAAACCCCTCTCAAATGAAGTCATTTTAATTTCACACAATCAAGGGTTGTTTGATATCAAGATTTATCTCGCTTTTAGTGTGTATTTAAAGCCAAATTCAACCAAGTTTATTTTGAATCATTCTTAAGTTTTGGATTTCATAAATCTAGTTGCTGTTTGGTATCCTGTTTTAGGCAGTTTAAAGCAACACTTTGCGTAAATCCTGTAATCTTTTTTTCAGCCCCATTATTAGTTAAATCCCACCATTCACATGATTTAATGGATATCTCGCTCTAACATAAATCATAACCTTGAAACAAACAGCTAAACATTTTATCAGGACAAAACAAAATTTAACAATTGTCATGTCAAATATTTTTCATATTTTAATCTACTTTTTTTTTTCTCCTTTTTATTCAAAAAAAAATTTCTTATTTTAATCCTCTAAAGATTTACTAAATTTGGATTTACAGGATTTCGTAAATCCTACTTGAGTTAAATATTACTTGTATACAAACAGCCCATAAATCCTACTTTGGATAAATCTTACTTGTCGCTAGGGGTGTCAATATTTGACACGACACAAAAACCCGACCCGGACCCGACCCGAAAAATTCGGGTTGAACCCGACCCGATTTCAAAATGGATCGGGTTCGGGTTCCAGAAATCGATCCGTTTAAAAAACGGGTCGGGTTCGGGTTGACTCGGCGGGTTGCCGGGTCAACCCGCCAACCCGTTTAACTTAAAAAATTTTCAAATTTCCCGCCTCTGCCCGCTGCCCGCCGTGCTGCCCGCGCTGCCCCAGCGCTCGCGCGCTGCCCGATCCTCTGCCTCATCAAGATGGAAATGGCATCAAAAAGTCGAAAGCGAGGATCAAGATAGTTATTAGGATCCATTTCCGAAAAATTGTTCATGTTGTCATCCATGTCATTGAGTTCTTGCACAAAGCCTCCATTACAATTGCGGCAAAGCTTGTCCCTTCCATGAGGTCGAACTGCTCGCATACATCTGTAGCACCAGTGTGTGTTCGTACCACTTGACATGGTTTCCCAATGAATAGCTCTTCACAATCAACAACACAAAGCACCACCTACACCTTGTAATGTATTTGAAGTCCGACTAAGTATTTCTTCCGAATTAAAACTCTGTAGTGAAAGAAGCAGAAACAAAACTCAGTGAAAGCATTAAAGAAAAACCAAGAAATTTCAGAAGTCGTTGAACAAGTCAATGGTGGATGAAGCTCTCAGAGAATGACTCACCTCATCAACTTATTAAGAAATTGTTTGCCACTGTTAGATATTGGTCATAGATTTAGGTTGTTTCTTGTATGGCTTGTACAACCATTAGTGTAACTTTCTATGTTGCTATTTTTTGCTTATAAATAGGAGCTTTAGGTTGTAATAGATGGAATGGTTAAGGAATAAAGAACTTGTGTTCTGCTATCTCCCTCTTCCCTTCCCTCTCTCCCTCCTCTCTCAAGATCAAGAAGAGGAAGTGATTCTTCCTCTCATCTAAGATCCTCACATCTGATTTCAGAGCATGGTGGATGAAACTAAGCTAGGTGGAGGTGGAGGGAGGTTTTCTTGTCTAAGAAAAACAATTCAAGAAAAGAAGAGGAGGCAGTTCTTTCGCTCTGAGGAAAAGGGATTCTTCATGTATTCTGAATTGGGTTGCTTGAAAGTATGAAACATGTTTTGAAAAAAGGTGAAATGTAGATCCAACATTTAATTTACTATTTTTAAAAGTAAAAGTTTATTTTGAACTCTACAAACCCCTCTCAAATGAAATCATTTTAATTTCACACAATAAAGGGTTGTTTGATGTGAAGATTTATCTCACTTTTAGTGTGTATTTAAAGCCAAATTCAACCAATTTTTTTTTGAATCTTTCTTAAGTTTTGGATTTCACAAATCTAGATGTTGTTTGGTATCATCCTGTTTTAGGCAGTTTAAAGCAACATTTAGCTTAAATCCTGTAATCTTTTTTTCAGCCCCATTATTAGTTAAATCCACCATTCACATGGTTTAATGGATATCTCGCTCTAACATAAATCATAACCTTGAAACAAACAGCTAAACATTTTATCAGGACAAAACAAAATTTAACAATTGTCATGTCAAATAGTTTTCATATTTTAATCCTCTCAAGATTCACTAAATTTGGATTTACAGGATTTCATAAATCCTACTTGAGTTAAATATTACTTGTATACAAACAGCCCCTAAATCCTACTTTGGATAAATCTTACTTGTCGCCAAACATCCTCATAAGATTTGACCTAAATCCCGAAATTAGTAAATTCTACCAAATTAAGGGATTTAAGCTACGTTTGGAATGGCTTTTTTATTGCTTCTTAAAGCAAATTTTTAATACAAAAATTTAATTTTTGTTCTAGAAAGTTGTTTTAGGAAGCAATAAGAAAGCCTGACCTAAACGAAGCGTTAATAAAGGTCTAAGATTTAAGGATTCAGTAAATCCTCATACATCCAAACAGTTATTAGGATTAAAAGCCATTGAAAACCAAAGAGTTTTCAAAAGTTAACACTCCAATGATTAACCAATTTCGGATAAACAGGATTTACTAAGTCCTATTTTGCTTAAATCATACTTGATAATGAGTGAAAACGAAATAATTATTTTTAAAGATATATTATCTATCTAGAAGCAACCAAATGATCCCTTCTATAGTTTACAGAGAAACTGCCAAGATGCTGAAAGTGATACAGATAAAGTCATGCCTTTTGCTACAGTACTTACAGTATTGTGATGAAAGATTAACTTTGACGCCAAATCCCTCAAAATAAAGAGAAAAAAGCGATCCAAAAAGAAAACAAAAATCAAAAGAAATACAAACAACTACATGCTTAGCTAAGAGCAAAACGAGTTCGCAACTTCTAAAATTAATAAATAAATAAATACACCATGTAGAACACATGAAGTGAGCAGATCTGCCTTCAGAATTACTTATCAACGCAAAGTCCTTACGGAGAAATAATTCGTCAATTCAAAACAAAACGTGAGCAAATCATAATAAAATCTAACATGGGAGGCAATCCACCGCGAATGCTAACTTCTGATTACAAAGCAGCAAAATGAGAGTGAGATAGCTGTAGAAAATACAAGGAAATTGGGCAAATCAAGCTTCTAAACCTTGTTTGACACAAAGAAAACTCGATCTTTTGGTATTGGGATCAGAAGAATATACCTTCAAGAAAAGCTAAGAGATAATTAAGCAGCAGTAAGCTTCCAATAGCGATCTCTTATGGAAGGCGAGAAGCTCGCAAGGGGAGGAAGAAAAAGACGACAAAGAGTGAGCCCGGTGAAGGAGTGGGATCGAAGAGATAAAGGAGAAAGTTCTTAAATGAGAAATCAATTGGCTTGGGCTCATTCCATGCCAATTATTATTATTATTCTTATTATTATTATTTTTAGAAATTGAGCATCGCATCTAGTATTTTCGTTAAATTTCCCCAAAAAAAGTATTTTCGTTAAAAAAATACAACATGATTATTATAATTTTTATATAGAAAGAGCTACCAAGAGGTACAAAAATAAAGCGTCAAAAATATTTTTATTACAATAGAATATTTAATAAAGATGGATGAAATATTTTAATAAGCTTTTCAATTATGATTTTGATAATTTACTTAATTTTAGTAACCTTAAGAGTTGTTTATAATTATAATAATAAATAAATTACTAATATTAATTAAATTAAATAAATGAAAATTATGCTACTAATTATTCAATTAAATTTCACTTAGACTAATTTATAATTTGGGCCCCTGTTTAGGGTTTGCTTTTCATCTTATTATTCTGCTTGATCGCTTTTCCTCGTCGCCATTTCTTCCTAGCTGCTTCGACTTCACGTGTTGTGCATGCTTCGAGCTCGCTCGCTACTTTCCCTCCTTTGAAACCATCAGATTGGAAGTCACAACGGGAGCTCACACGTCGCATGTTGCATAGGTAACCATCTTTGCCTCATCCTTCCTTAAAGACTTTCAAGACGTGAGCTAGCTCACTCGCAAGCTCTGTAATCTATAAACCCTAAATTTGTCGAACGATGAGATTTAGAAAATCCCATATTTATTATCACGACCCAACCCGACCGGGACGGATCCCGCTCGCATCGGGCCGCGACGGAACCTAAACTTGAAATCCAGGATCTAGTTTTGAAATTTGCTTCAAAACTTTCTTCCAAATATTACACAGACAGAAAAACACAGAGCTACTATAAACATCCAAACACAGAAAAGTTCATCTATCTTTTCTTTCATCAAAATAATCATATACAGATACAGTACTCGGCTTACGGACAGAAAGAACATATCAGAACAGAAAAGCCATGACTGTACAAAAATTAAAAGTATCAAGTACTTAATCACAGAACAGACTCTGAACTGCTAATCCACGACTTCCTTCCCTTTCCCAGAACCTGAAAACCATGCAGAAAATAAGGATGAGTTAACAGCTCAGCAAGACATCACTCACCAATCAAAATCCTTAGAAATCCACATCAGAAAAGTATCCGTACAGAATTCGAACAATCGTACAGAAATCGTACAACAAACAGAACAAATAACAGCTCAATAAGAAATCAAACATCATATACGAAAAACTGAAGTCATGTCGAATCAGAGTTTAGAATAGATATCAGAAAGCTTTCAAATCACAGAGCAGACAGAATCGTACAGAATAATCAGAATCGTACATAAATCAGAAATCAAATAATTCACAGAGCAGATTCAGATATCAGATTTCAGATGTCCCTGACACAAACAGAATCTCGACGGATTCTGGCCCCTTATGCCTCTCTTCCCTGACACAGACCTAATCTCAACGGATTCTGGCCTCTTATGTCTCCCGTTGTGCTTATAGCACCAAAACAGAACAGATATCAGAGGTTCCGGAACATTTTCAGATTTCAGAGCTCATTTCAGATTTCAGAATTCCCTGACCCAGACAACGGAATCACATAGGATTCCGGCCCCTTATAACTCCCTTCTGATAGCACAAACACATCAAATATTCAAATCATCTTATTGCAGAAAATTCAGAAATCGTACGAAAATTCAGCGGCATAACGGCAGTGTATGGAATTTACACAAAATTCACAGATTCAGAAATTTACCAAATTACCGCAAAACATTCACAACAACATTGTAAGACTTTCATTGTAATGACAAAATATTTTTCAACATCCTGATAATTTGCAGTACAATTAAAACACCGCAGAGTCCAAAATAACCGGTAAAAATCTTTCTGAAAATACTTAAAACGTGCACAATTATAATCTCAGAAACATACCAAAAGTTACGTGGCAAAACCTTTGTCAGACAAAAATAATACCTGAAATTCGCTAACGGAAACAAAATTCGGAACATAAAACACGTCAAAAATCTCATTTCTGAAAATTGAGAAAGGCAGAATGTGCCTTATCTTGAGTAGGTCAACTTTCCCAACTATGGCGACGGACGAAAACGGACGGAAGTCGCCCAAAAATTCACTTTTCCTCTTTTTCCTTCGTTTTTCTCTCTCTTCAAAATCGGCACTATTCAAATATTTAATACACAGGATCGTCCCGGACGATGTCCTATTCGTCCCGGGACGATCTCCCATATACACAGATCGTCCAGACGAAATTAAATGCCAATTTTTTCATCCCGGGACGAAACCCTCGGGTTGTTTCGTCCCGACTCTTCCATGTTCGTACAGACGAATAGACAGATTCTTCACAATTATGTACAGATCGTCCTGGATGATGTCCCTGATCGTCCCGGACGATCCTTGGAGAAACAGCCTTTACAATCTCCCCAACTTCAGAAAAATGTCATCCTCGACATTGCCAAACCAAAACTCTGCCAAAACAGATACGGATAGGACTGTCTCATGTCTGACTCCTCCCAAGTTGCTTCCCGAGCTGTTCTGTGCTTCCACTATACTTTAACCGTAGGAATCTGTTTACTTCTTAACTTACAAACATCATAAGCCAAAATCAACCCAGGTTCTTCTTCATACCTCAGATTCTCCTGAATCTCCACTTCATCAGCAGATAATTTCTTGTCAGAATCAGATATCCACTTTCTCAAGAGGATACATGAAAAATATTATGCACATCAGACAACTGATCAGATAACAATAATCTATAAGTAGATTTACCAATCCTTTCAAGGATTTCAAAAGGTCCAACATACCTTGGACTTAGCTTGCTCATTCTTCCAAATCTGCTAACACCTTTCATCGGACTGACTTTGACATATACAAAGTCATCAACCTGAAATTCCACGAATCTGTGCTTCTGATTGTAATACTTCTGTTGTCAATCTTGTGCAGCTTTTAATCTTTCTTTAATCAAGTTGATTTTCTTAACAGTTTCATCCACAAAGGTTGCACCCATTTCTTGTCTATCTCCTTCCTCAGTCAGAGTCAAAGGAGGAGTTCTACACTTTCGGCCATACAAAGCTTCGTAAGGTGTCATACCAATACTGGACTGAAAACTGTTATTATAAGCAAATTCGATCAAAGGAATATGATCTTCACAGCTTCCTCCAAAATCCAAAACACATAATCTCAGAAGATCTTCCAGTACCTGAATAGTCCTCTCAGACTGTCCGTCAGTCTGCGGATGAAAAGCCGTACTGAAATGTAACTTCGTACCCAATCCTTGCTGAATACCCTTCCAAAGTCTAGAAGTAAATCGTCTATCTCTATCAGATACAATCACCTTTGGCACACCGTGCAATCTGACGATTTCTTTCACATATACCTGTGCCAACTTATCCATCGGATCTGTCTGCCTGATCAGAAGAAAATGAGCAGACTTCATCAAGCGATCCACAATTACCCAGATGGCATCATGCCCTTGTCTTGATCGAGGAAAACCCATAGCAAAGTCCATCGTTACCTCCTCCCATT